CAAAATAGAAAGGTTTTCGGTAAATATGTCTAAAATATGGCGCAACGCAGAGAGATTATCAGCAACATTAATTTTTTTAGTCTGTTCGAGTGCATGCCAATGAGAAGTGGCAATTAGCCGTTTATTTTCATATCTTTTTTTGAGGGCGTTATATGCCACAATATAATTTTGAGAGGTCAATGGTGTACATTTGACAATCGAAAGAGCATTGCCTTTTAAGGATGAAATCAAATAGTTATACTTATCGATATTGGACAGTTGAGTATTGTTATGTATCAAAGAATCAAACATATCATTATACGTTTGCCATTCTCTAATATCCCCATCGAATGTCGGAAGCTCCATCTTAGGTAATCGAACATTACACGATCGTGTATTTTCATTACTGGCAAGCTCTTTGTCCTCGAATAATCGGGAATAGGTTTCTTGCACCTGATAATACGTATTGAAAAATATTGACATTATAGTATGATGTGGTTGAACATCTCCACCTTCTTGGCCCGAGACGATATTGACGATATCTCGTTGAACAGCTTCGAAATTCACTAAAATAGTATCCAGATGTTTGTAGCGACATTTAAAATTGTTATGAGTATTCGTATCGAGTAAAGACTCTTCAGCAATGCGATTGATATCGTTTAATTTAATTATCTCTGACTCCCGTTGCGCTATCAATGCCTTTAATTTTTTATCCATCTTGTCAAATGTTAACCAGATAGGTTGATGTTATCACTAGAGTTGGAGAAGATAGTAACAATTGAGGTTTAACCACGTAAAAAATACGTGAGAAATTATAACAGAAATTATAAATATTGTTTTTAAATTATTGAGAAACTTATATGAGTTTATTTCAATACAAATTGAATTATTTTGAGCATAAACAGAAATTTATCGAAACGAGAATTTCAGCTATCAGCTGTTGGGACGAAAGCCCGCACAAAGAAGAATACGTGATAAGGTGAGATAGTGGGAGTTCAAACAAAATGTCATCAAAATGAGACTATCCAGCTATCAGCTGTTTGGAAGAACGCAATCACAAAGGAGAATAATTGATAAGGTATTATAGTGGGAGATGCGCAGACACCTGTCGCTACCTTACCTGCGTGAACAATTTGCGCGATCGGTACCATAGATAGGTCAATTAAAAACCTTATTAATGTCTGCCAAAAGACTTCGCCGAAATAAATAAATTATACTAATTATGCAAATTAACAAATTTTGGCTAACATAAGAAAATTACGAATTGACTATAATTGATAAATCCGGCTCGAAGGACCAAAATGTTTCATGATTCGAGATATGAATAAATTAGTGGACTGTATGGTTTAAAAATTCATCGAAATCACAGAGCGGTCTATAAAGGCCACTTACCCATGATGTCTTCTTGCCACGCCAAATTCGTATAATCTGCAGTCTTGGAGATGGTACCATCGACGACCCACATCTGATATCCAGAACAGGACACTATGATTGCACTATATTGTTTTTCGTGTAATTGTTCATTATAGGAAGGAATTTAACCTTTGTTGGAGGTTCACCGGTGTAATTAAAAACACGTGTATATATCTCAGAGAGTCATTAGAGAGAGAGAGAGTCATGGTTTTCGTGGTACTACGTCCTCGTGATTCTCTCCTTTGGGGAGGGGAAAGGATCCATGTGCCCCTAAGTATAGTGGCCAATAGATACTCTGTGATTGAATACGCGCGAAAAATTAGGATAAATATATGAGACTACCAACTAAGTCTTTTGGCAATTGTAGGAACTTAAATATCTATGCATCAAATACTGGCTTGATGAAACATACACTGTATCTGCAATCTTGGAGATTCCATGTAGTTGAGATATCTTCGTTGGTACCAGATATCGAACTTTCCTCGACTCTCCTTAGGAGATTTTAATCAAAAGCTAACATAATGGTTTTAGCAAATAAAATTATCTCCTTCATACATCCAAGATAAGGTGCAGCGAGATACATATACATTCTCGATTTCGAAATTCCACTAAATAACAATTATGGATAGCATTCAATGATTCAATACAAGTGGGCGGAGATGTCTAGAAACCAGGGTGGAATGAATCGACTTCTCGACATGATATACACTCAGTCCCAAAAAAAGTGACGCACTCGATATTTGACCTATCTTCTAAAAAAAAAACAAAAAATAGTAGGCCGATTTTTATTTTTTTTTATTTGTTAGTAGGTAATGCATTTGTCTTAAAAAAAATAAAGAGGTGGACATTTTTTCAAATCCTCCTTGATGGTAGTGGAATAACTCGAACAATGATTTATTCTTAATTTTTGACTCACCTCCCTGTGTATTAATTGAGTAATGGTATACAAAGTGCTTACACCCATACATACACCCACAAAATAAATTTATTGAAGGATCAGAGTACTCAAAACTGATTGGGTTGTACTCTGGTAGGATCACATTGTCTTTAAAAAAACAAATGCCGTTCCCATAGCAACTAATTTGTTGTATGCCTCCATATTTGACCATTTGTCGTTGTGTCATTAATTAAGTGTCTTGTTTTATTGACTGAAATTACATAAAATGCCTCAAATAAATCCTGAACAAGTAGCAAGATTAGTTGCGTTAGTAAACGATGGGCGTAGTAAACGTTACGCCGCTCGTGCAGTGGGAGTTCATGAAGCAACTGCTCGTAGAGCAATCCGCAAGTACGAACAAACAGGAAGAACCGCTCGGAGGGTCGGTTCTGGTCGCCCCCGAAAAACTTCTCCAAGAGATGATCGCTTATTGAGATTGCGGATTTTACGGAATCGATCAAATACTGCGGTGAATGTTCAGCAAGATCTTCGCCAAATTCGTGATATTGCAGTAAGTAAGCAGACGGTATGTAGACGTCAATAAGAAGTTGATTTAAAAGCTAGGAGACCTGCAAAAGGTCCCGAATTATTTCCCGAACATCGTGCTGCCAGAAGCAATTTTGTTGAAAATTATGGACAGTGGAATATTCCTGAATGGTCGAATGTCTTGTTTACGGATGAATCAAGGTTTTGCTTTAACATGGTGGATGGAAGAAAAAGAGTGTGCTGGAGAAGAACTGGTGAACGGTTTAATCAAAATTTAATAACAGAATGCGAAAGTTTTAATGGTGGGTCCGTTATGGTGTGTAAGCACTTTTATGCCATTACTCAATTAACACACAGGGTGAGACAAAAATTAAGAATAAATCATGGTTCGAGTTATTCCACCACCATCAAGGAGACTTTGCAAAAATGTTCACCTCTTTATTTTTTTTTAAGACAAATACTCACCAACAAATAAAAGAAAAAAAAATGAAAATCGGCCTACTATTTTTTTCTTTTTTTTTAAGAAGATAGGTCAAATATCAAGTGCGTCACTTTTTTTTGGAACTGAGTGTATATGATGCTTCAAAACAGAGGTCAACAGCTGAATCCGGAATTATCCATTGAAAATGAATTCTTGCCCTCACAGTGGCAGCTTTCACCAGGTCTACCATGATGAAATATAGATTGAAATCAATAATTATTATTACATTTATTGTAATGACTGTTTTATAAAACCATATCATAATAGTATATTGGAAAATGGAGAATCATAAAACTTTCAATACATTCGGGATCAACCGTGAGAATCACATTTTCATGATAGATGCTGATGGTGTCTTATAGATAATTGAAAGACGTTTCAAATGAAGTAATGAGGTATATACACTATTCAATTTGAAAAAAACTTCATGATTAATATTTTCTAGACTCAAAATGTAGCGCTCAACTATACCATTGGGACAGAAAAGAATGAAAAATCCCAATCCAATCGTCATTATTATTTTCAATTCCTCTTTATAAAAAAAACGTGGATTTTTGCATATGGATATAATGGCCAAGCGAACAGAGAGTGATGACGAGAATATGTACTTGAACCTTATTCTTGTGAATTTCGAAAATAGGGTTCAGTGAACAACATCAGAGGACATATTGTATCTTTTGATGTTTGGATCACTCTGTATCCATGATATATTCTTTTTTTTTGTCAACGTTCATTCTGATCAAAGGTCATTTCATGGATTTCATAAATTTCAAAAATGTCTCATCTTAATGATAGAACGTACAAGCAGTTGTCCTGCTGGAAGCGCTTCCAGAAGTACTTTTGTTCGTCCTACTGGCAGGACGCGCGCTCATAATTCCAGAAGTTCAAAATGTCCTTCTAGCAGGACGTATTGAACGTACAAGCGGTTGTCCTGCTGGAAGCGCTTCCAGAAGTACTTTTGTACGTCCTACTGGCAGGACGCGCGCTTGTCCGTCCAGAACTTCAAAGTGCCCTTCTAGCAGGACGTATTGAAAAATCAGTCGCAACAAGTGAGCTAGAGCGTCTGAAAGTCTGAGGATACATTTATTTCTATATGAAACTCAGTGGTGGCACAGACAATGAGATAAACGTATGCAGAAAGAAATATATTAGGAAGTAATACAGGGTTTCGTTGATTTTGTTTTTCGTAGAAGTTCTCCACTGTATAGAACGTTCTATCTAAAAAAATATCATTTTGGATTGCTGTTTCTTTTTCAAGCGGTAAGGATTTGGGTCAATTTTTGTTATATTCCCATCAATGTCCCACTTCACTGTGGCGGTATTACTGGATTTTATTACATTTTTTACAATCCCATAACACCTGGCGGACTGCCACTGGTCACCGAATTGGGAATAACTCCACGAATGATCATTTTTTCCATCGAAAGTGGTGGCGAGCACCGAAACGTGGTCACCCACAGAGATCATTTTGTCGACTGGAATATCTTTCTTTTCAATTCGTCATAACTTGCTACTGGGTGGGGTTACAGTTTCGAATAAAAAATGCGCTGAAAGCTCATAATCTGCACATTTTTCCAGACGCACTAAAAATCCTACCAGAATCACAGAAAGTACTATAATTAATAGAAATCAAGCGTCCTCAAATGGGCTGATTCCGTCCTGCTGGAAGGACGCTGTACGTTCTATCATTAAACTTCATAGATTTCATGCATTTCATTCTCTGTTTCAGTGCTCTCCCCCGCCGCGACCTTCGCCCTCAGTCATCCGTCCGCTGACGCCACCTGCCCCACTCCGCCCACTCCTGCCCCCTCGCCGCCACGCACCCCATCCGCCTCCTCCAGCCACTCTCCGCAGCCGCAGCCCTCCTCCTCCACCACTGGTAACGGAGGCGGCAGTCCCGCGCACGCGCAAGGCAAGCCACCCTACTCGTACGTCGCCCTCATCGCCATGGCCATCCAGAGCAGCGTTGCCAAGAGGGCCACGTTGTCGGAGATCTACCAGTACATCACCGCCAAGTTTCCATATTTCGAGAGGAACAAGAAGGGGTGGCAGAACTCGATAAGGCATAATTTGAGTCTCAACGAGTGTTTTGTCAAGGTGAGTTCGATTATGGCTGGGAATTTTTTAATTTTCATTACTGAAACCAGTGGCGTACCTACGGGGTAACACTTATGATGCGCACTGTATAATGGTATATAGACAGTAAAATATATAGTACTAAATATAATCAAGAGTTGAAGTCCACCTTCTCATCAGGTTGGTGGCAAAAATTATGTGAAAATTCTACTTACAGTAGGTCATCCATATAAGTGTAGCGTTGCTTTTACCAAAAAATCTCCAGGCAGTTATTAGTAGAGTCCCTGTATGTATAATTCCCTGTATATATTTGTCAGTTTTGTTGTAATAAGAGTACGGACACTATGACAAGCAGTGACGGAAGGCATAACCCCAAATTCTCAAAATGACTTTTGAACAAAGACATGGATATGCTTTTCCATGCACTTCGGATCTTCTATCCTCTACTGCCGCGGTGAAGGGTACATCCATATATCTTTCTCTGTCTTTATTCCCATAAAGAAGTGGCGTCTCATCTCACTGGCGAAAAGGGGTCATAGTTTGTAAATCAATTTGTTGAAAGTATTTCTCGATATACTTAACAAAGGGTATATATGATTTTAGGATGCACTAGTTTTTCAATAGGTAGAGTCAGGATTTAGTAGCCAGTTCTGATGGGCAGAATGTAAATGAATGGGAAGAACAATTCAACCATAATTAACAAACTTATATTTGTTCTCATAACATACTAAGACACTTCATAGGGCATGAACGATCAGAAAATTCGACAAATACAAGTATAATGATTATAATTCAAGAATAGTATATCCTATGACAAGAATAAAAAATTTCAAATAATGGTAGAGTAAAGTGGGGTAATATGGCAACATAAAATTTAAATGCTCACAATCTAATAACCATCGCGCCTAGCTGAAAGACGATGGCTGCACGTTAGAGCTTACACAATATATTTTTGTGACCAGAGTCGCTCGTTGCGATTTTTCCACACAGCAAAAGATCACAAGTAAAAATGCATAGTAATATCATATTGCCATATTACCCCATACCAAGGGTAATATGGCATCACAGGTTGGGTAATATGGCAACATGCTATTCTCGTAAACTATTTTATGAAATCGAAAAAAAAACTAGCTTTTACAACATAACAGTATAAATTATCAAATTTTATGTCTCAGAGCTGTAGAGGTACTTGGTACTTGATCTGGAACACAATCTGCACAATGAATCATATTCGATGGTAACTTGAGTCGATTCAAACTTGCCTGTATTCCTGCATTAGCAGTTTCCTCACACTCTTCCAAAGATTTTTGATGAGATAGTTGAAGATCTAAAATTATTTCCTTATAATAGTTGTGAATATTCGTAACTTGCAGTCTTGTTTCAGAATCTCTTTGCTTCAAGCTATTTTTCAAATGTTCGTCCTTTTCTTTGATTTTTTTTCTGTATCTTTCATCATTAACTATTGATAAATTTTGAATTTCGGCATATCTTCTCTCTAAATCTTCGATTATTTCTTGTTTGTGATCCAAAATACATTTAATTTCATCTTGGTATTCTACTCGAATTTTTCCTCGTAAAAATTGTCCTGAATTCGATGAGGAATGTCATCGATAATCCTTCTGATGATGGAATGAAGGCTTTGCATTTTCTTTCAATTTGATGGTATGTTCCACTATGAAATCTTCACATTTGAAGTGCACCTATAATGTTAAAATTGAAATTATAAATGATATTATTCCTTCGAATATGCATCATATTCAATCGAAAAATTCAAATATTGAGTACTTACTTCGCAAATTTTGCTACCTCTGAATTCAATTTCCGTAGTGGCCGCTTCATATTTTCTTTCCATTTCTGTAACTGTTGTTGGTTAGAATGGGGGAAATGGAATAAATGAAAGGACTCGCTTCCATTTTTGCAATTCTCCACTACACAATTAGACATTTTAATTTTTGAAAACCTGAATCGAGACCTGAATTTTCAAATAATTTAATGTCATGTACGTTCATGAACTGTCAGTGCCCGCCAAATTGTTCATGTCATTTCAAATTTTTTAGGGTTATGCCTTCTGTCACTGCTTGTCATAGTGTCCGTACTCTTATTACAGCAAAAGTGTCAAATATATACAGGGACTCTAGTTATTAGTAACTCATCAGGTTCAGCATCTATCACTGAAATACAAACTGGAACCGGAACTGTCATACCTATGACATCCTTAGCATGGGCTTAGAAAATTATTTTCTATTGACGAACATGTCAACAGGGACAACAAGTAGACATAATTATATAACCTGACGAGTACGCACTGCTACAAATATTGAATAAATTATTTTGCACGAAATACAAATCTTCCCTTCTTTGGTATATATTCACGTGCACACAGCCCAGCATCAACCCTCACATATACAGGGTGTTTCACAGGTAAAGGGAAATATTTCAATGGTAGATAGGGGTCACCGAGGTGATTTTGAAAATACCATATTTGATAGGTCTTAGAGTTTTCATAACGGAGATACAGGGCGATTTATCGATTTTGAATAATTATTCATTCGTCTATAAGTATTGAACTACCCAGTATATTTTTCTAAAATTTGGTATGTAGCTCAAACTTGGGACGTTGAATTCATTCACCTATCAGGCGGAATTACAGTTCGATAATTCATCCTGTATCTCTGTTATAAAGACTATGAGACTTTTCCTGAAGCTGAACCTGATGTATTTCCATTCAGGTAACTTGATTTTAATACAATGAGAAAACAGTGTGACGAGAGTTCAATGTAAGTGCGATTGTGCGATTCATTATAATTATTACTAGGTGTTGAAATTGACATGATTAGCCCAAAGTATAGTTTCTAAGACTCTCAGCGATCAAGCCTCTGAAAACAACGCATTCCGCAGCATAACAAACTTCTGGGGGTTATTCAGTGCAACAGTAGAAAACATTTGAGTAGTGGGACCCATGTTCGGAAATAGAAATACGATGAATTGAAAAAATAGGATTTAATGCATTCAATGTTTACCTTCTGTACATGATATGATCACAACAATTGTTCAAAATGTCAATGTCAATGTTTAAAAATTTTATACAATTGTATTGTTGTTTGAAGTTTGAAAACGGTAACAGAGATTTTTTTTTGAAGTTGCATTCCATATCGCCTCAATCGTGCTATCGTATTTGTGAAGTTTGCAAGAATTTAACGAAAAAAAATCAATTGTTGCTAATGGAAAACTTTACCAATCAAGAATTGGCGGATATGCATTTGGCATACGGAGCAACAAGCTGCAATGCACGAGCAGGAGCGCGGTTGTATCAAGAACGAATTTGAAGAAGAGGTCCTTCAGCGAGTTGCCGACGATCCATCAAGTAGCACACGTCACATTGCTATAAGGATATGAATACGACTAACGCTTCCGTCTGGCGGGTGCTACACGAGCAACAACTTTATCCTTACCACTTCCAGGAAGTTCAAGGATTGACTGCAGCCGATTATCATCCTAGAGTTCAATTTTGTCAATGTCATGAAATCGCTGCACGCCAAATTTTTCAAACTATGTTTTATGGACCGATATGAAGCCTCTTTCACAAGAGACGGCATTTTTAATATGTTTGGGACGGAGAAAATCCCCATGCAATTTTTCCTAGGAAACATCAGCAACGTTGTTCTGTCAACGTAAACGTATGGGCAGGCATTGTTGATGATCATTTGATTGGGCCATACCTTCTACCGGATCGGTTAACAGTACCTATTTACCGTTTCTTGGAGGAAGTTCTTTCAGAACTTCTTGAAAATGTTCCACTAAACGTTCGACAGCAAATGTGGTTTCAGCATGATGGAGCGCCAGGTCACTTTGCTGTACAAGTACGTGAGGACTTGGCTCAGCGGTTTGGCCACCGTTGGATTGCCAGAGGTGGAGCAGATTCTTGGCCTCCTACGTCACCCGATTTAACGCCGCTAGATTTTTTCCTGTGGGGACATGTAAAGTCTTTGGTCTACGAAACAAATTTTCAGTCAAGTCCGTCGAAATCATGTGCTACGTTCAAATCGGTGTATTCAGGTTGGAGGGAGACATTTTGAACAATTGTTGTGATGATATCATATACAGAAGGAAAAAATGAAATGCATTGAATCCAATTTTTTCAATTCATCGTATTTCTGAATCTTATAACGCGTCTTAGGGCCGTAGTGACACTTTTCCGAACATGGGTCCCACTATACTCAAATGTTTTATACTGTTGCACTGAATAACCCCCAGAAGTTCGATCCCATAGTTCTGTAACACCCTGTATACTTATGATGGACAAAAGTTATGAACGATCCACTAGTGGACCGTTACGACATCAGTTTCCATTCCACGCTGTCGTACATACCTCATCCATCAACAGTGCCTTTTTCTTGTTGCAGGTGCCCCGAGAAGGCGGCGGCGAGCGCAAAGGCAACTACTGGACGGTGGATCCGCAATACGAGGACATGTTCGAGAACGGCAACTACCGGCGGCGGCGGCGCATGAAGCGGCCGTACCGGTCGGCGGCGGCCGCCCATCCGCCCTACCCGAAGGCCTTCTTCGGCGACGCGCTCGCCCAGCACGGCCTGCCCATCGCCAGGAACATCTTCACGCCGCCCGCCTACCCGCCGCCCTACTCCAGGTGAGAATACATTCGTGTCAAGAGTTCACGCGTAATCACGCTATTTTTTTGCCTCGTTATTTCGTTATCTCATCTTTTCGTCCTTTCCCTCTTCCGTGTTTTCTTCCTTTCATCACTCGTTTCCTCAATTTTTCGTTCTCTTCTCGGGTTCTCTTGTTCTCTCGTTCTCTCGTTCTCTCGTTCTCTCGTTCTCTCGTTCTCTCGTTCTCTTGTTCTCTCGTTCTCTTGTTCTCTCGTTCTCTCGTTCTCTCGTTCTCTCGTTCTCTCGTTCTCTCGTTCTCTCGTTCTCTCGTTCTCTCGTTCTCTCGTTCTCTCGTTCTCTCGTTCTCTCGTTCTCTCGTTCTCTCGTTCTCTCGTTCTCTCGTTCTCTCGTTCTCTCGTTCTCTCGTTCTCTCGTTCTCTCGTTCTCTCGTTCTCTCGTTCTCCCGTTCTCTCGTTCTCTCGTTCTCTCGTTCTCTCGTTCTCTCGTTCTCTCGTTCTTCACTTTATTGATGATTTCGTAGCTTTCCAGATAATTGGTAAGCTCAATTATGATGGCTTCCTCCATCACTCTGAAGATTACTGATAATAGTTGTTGGGTAGTTTTTTTTGGGGAAGGGAGGATTGGTTGGACTCTACTTATTTTCTAGCAGAATGAAAAAAAACCGACTCTTACGAAATAGTAAATAAATTGCAGAGAATCGGTATCAATTCTGGTTCACACTTTCTGAAAATAATGGTTGAAATTCCATCAGAACCGTTAGCCTTATTCATTTTAAGGAAAAGAAAAATGCGTCTGATAGTGCGTTTACACAAGACGATTTCGGGGCATTCGACTTTCAACGGGTGGAATCTCTCGTGGCACTAGAATATCTGGCGGCACTCAATATCTGGCGGTGTCACTACTTGGGAATAATACCATTGGTAAAGAATTCCAAAGCACTGATGCTAGCAGTGATGATAACAACTTTCAGTAGAAAAAAAAATCATGTTCATAATATGCATCTATTTTCAATCATGTCCAATTATTAATTATTTGTGGGCTTCGAATTATTATATGGCCTCCAAGGAATACCATACCATTGAGAAACTTCTGTATCCATTTTTACCCCGTTTGAACTCTAGAATGCCTGGGGTAAAATACTGACAATTGCAATGCTGTGGATAGGGCAGGTGGTTTCTCCCAATAGATCATTAATATAGAGTAGGATTGATGATTGATGGATTTATGCAGTTCATGCAAGGGGGGAGTTGGGGTTTGAACCCCTTCCTCCAAGATCCATATCCGAAGCGTCGTGTGCTATCGGAAGTTATTGAACTGATTACCCCCTCAGAAAACAATCATGGGCACGCCACTGGGTTCACGTTTGTGAAAGTAATTCAAAATCTCTGTAATATATTAGGTGGAAAGTTTCATTATCTTATTTGTTCTCTTTACGGCAACAATGTTCATTGGTTCATCAACTTTCGCAGAATCATTGTACATAAGGAAACCTAACCACTCTTGTCATTTTTTGATTTCTTTCATTATCCTTCGTCAATAATGGCGATCGATCTTCCCCTGAATACTCATTCTCGAAGCTATGTTGATATTATAAAAGGAGTCTGTATAACAAATAGTAACCCACAGCCCACCATTTTGGTTTCCACCTTTCTTCTTTACCCACCTCCATATTCGAGTTGAGCGGTGATACGGTGGTAATAGTCTTACCTGTATAGGTACCTACCTACCTTTTATTGTTACCTGTGCTCCCTCTTTTCTACCAGTAGATTAGGCATGTCACCGCCTTGACAAAATGGTGCCGCGTTGTGCTTCAGACAAAAGTGGAAACAGAATTAACAGATACCTTTCTGCATCATGATGTATATACATTGTACTAGGTGATTCAATAAGGGTAACAAGTTACTGTATCTCAGGAACTAATAACTTTGCTAACAAGGTCTTCAAGAAACGAAGGTTTGGCGAATAACATAAAAAACTTTCTATGCCACTCTGGTTGTTATAGCCTTTGCAAAGGGGCCTGTTTCATTAACTATATGAGTTCCTGAGATACAGTACCTCATCACCCTTATTGAATCACCTGGTACATACCTACCTACTGATGACACTGTTGACATATATGTATAGAATACTCAAATGGTGTAATTACTTCCTATTGTAATGAGTTTAGGAATCTTTCGATATTGAACATATTTTCAAGGGTTGGACATTTCGTATATTGTGAGGTTGAATTCAAATGTGAATGAAATCGGCGCCAGCGCCACTGTCAAAATTATTATACCCATTTCTATCATTCTATATCCGATCATGAATCGTTGAATTGTTAGTCATCGCAAATAATAAGAGCAAGACCATATTCTTGGACCCGCTATGTTTCAAACCAACTATAAGTAGTCAAATCATCAGAGGATTCTACCTTGCAAAAGATGGAGTAGTCATGATTTTGGTATATTTTGGGGGAAGTCGGGATCCGCCATTTTGGGTTGAAGGTAAAATAATCAGTACTTCCTGAATAATTTTCCAAATTTTTTTTAAGATACTTTTTCCGTAAGCCTATAACAGGTGGAAAGTTACAGAGCGTCGGAACTGTAAAATATTTTCGAAAAAATCGACATTCATGACATGATTCTTTGATTGTGAATCTGAAAAAAAATGCATTGCAATTTTTTCGCGTTCTTCCATTCCACCATGGCATTATAGCAAAATGTAGTTGAAATATGATACCTAAGGTAGTTTCCATATATCGTTTGAGTTCGTATATGAATTTGTAGAAAGTATATTATTATTATAGTGTATCGATTCTACAAGTTACGTTTGATGGGTTTTATAGCTAAACAGCCTGTTTTCCATCGACCTACTCATGCTGTTTTTGAGAATGTGCATCACGATGAAATCCGGTAAGGTTTGACATTCAAGCTTGATCCATTTTCTTTGTGGCTTTTTACGGAGCTCCGTATGCGTCAATTACCAAATCTTCTGTACCTTTACTCTTTTTACTTCACTTTGTGGATTGGTATTGGTATTGGTGACCTTATTAGATCTGTTGTGCCTCATCTTATTCTGCTATCTCAAGGTTTTCTTGTTAGCAGCCCCTCAAGCTTCAAATCTTTCAGGAATCTGAGGATTTTGAGGGGATCTGTTTGTGCTATTTCTTCTACGGTCAGCTGGTATGCTCCCAGTATGTTCGATCTTTTGTGGTGTACAGCAAAACACTCCAGCAAGATGTGGTGGGGTGTTTCTGGATGTTCCCCGCAGAATCTGCAGGTGCTGTCCTCCTCTAAGCCAAGCTTCCTTAGGTGTTCTTTGAGTCTACGATGCCCCTTTGGAAATCCCGTTATTGCCTTGAGACTAATTTTGTTCAGTTGGAAGTGTCTCCGATCTTGCTCGGTTGAAATTGCCGAGGAGATCTTTGGCCTGCCGCAGTCCTGGAAGTCTTTGCCAGTGTGTTACTCTCATTGCTTCTTCAGCTTTATTAAGTTCTTCTTGGAAATGAGAATGTCCAAGGCTGCAGAATGGTTCTGGTCCGATCAGTGGCATTGATGCTCCTTTTCGTGCCAGAATGTCTGCTTGTTCATTCTCCTTCACTCCGATGTGCCTCGGTAACCAGAGGATAATTACATTATTGTTCCTGCCTAGATTGTTGAGTTTTTCTAGGCATTCCCAAACCATCTTTGAGTTGATGTTGAAGGAGCTCAACACTTTGATGGCTGCTTGACTGTCGGAAAGGATAGAGAACTCCTTATTGCGGTATTTCCTGTCGAGGTTGAACTGAATGCATCTTTCTATGGCGTGAATTTCCACTTGAAACCACTGGGGAAACTGGCCCATCGGTTCGGAAAATTGAGTGCGAGGCCCAAACACTCCTGCTCCAGTTCCCTCGGGTGTCTTAGACCCGTCCCTATTCCATATTATAGTATTCTTTCCCATTGCTTGGATGGATTCTGTGCTCCATTCTTTCTTAGTGCTTAGTTCTGTTCGGAAGTTTTTCTATAGATTGAACTTCCTGATAATGTCATCAGTTGAGAGATCAGCGAGGAGTGCACTTCCAGTGGGCAGTGAATCCCCCACATTATGTGCTTTCCCTTTCAGCCCGGCCGTCTCCAACCTGAAATGTGCTCCCCAAGCAGTTCTCCTCACCATGATGTGGAGGGGTGTGAGGTCCAGTATGACCTCTATAGTGCTGCTGTTGGACTCGATCTCACTGTGTGGATATGCAGAATTCGGAGATCACACCATCAATATTGGGGATTGGGGCAATCTTCTACATCTGAAGGTGACAAGAAAAATACCAAAAGCGCAGAAAGATCGATTTTCGGCCAACGAAAGAAACAAAGTCCGTTGGAGCAGGCCGATGTCAGTCAAGCAGGCTGAAAAAGATGCTGATGTATCGATTATCGATATAACGATACAGCGGACATCTTTCTACTCACCAAAGCCCGAGAGAGAGAAAATATTGTTGGGGGGGTGTAGTGTATTCGTCGAACAGTTTTAAACCAGAAGAAGCAGCCGAAAACATGCTTTCAGCGACTGTGACACGGCTTCATTACAATTCAATCATGGAAAAACCAAATTCCTTCAGCCCCTTAAAAAAAAAGAAGAACTTATGCCTATCATTGCGACCTCTTCAAAGATCCAAATACCAAAGCTGAAGAGCTCAAATACCCTGAAGCATAGTTTCCCATTGCTTTGTATGGTGACAGCATAAGTGGGGAAACCCTGGAAGATATCCGCTATACCCAATGGTTTGTCAAAAGTCATCCATAAAGAGCAAATTCAATCTTGCTTCTTTAAAACCAACAACGCACGTGGCACGGTAATTGCCAGAAGGGATGAGGTGTCGCATGTGCCTATATACGCTACTCTCAAGTCCTGTTTAAGAATAATAATCAAAATTATATAACTTCAACCTATTTCGGATCATCAACTGAAAAATTAGCTTCATTTCTACATAAACAGGACTTGAGAGTAGCGTATATAGAAGAAAAAACACGTTGGGAAGGTTTATCAAAAATAATGAAGACAAAACTTCTAAATTCGAAAAATCAGGGGTATACAAACTCAACTGTGGATCTTGTCCAAAGGTATATATCGGTCAGACAGGTCGTACGTTTAATCAGCGCATTCATGAACATAAGATGAATTTTTTAAAAAAGGAAACAAATTCAACACGCGCCAACCATATATTAGAAGAAAACCATACTTTTGATGATAATTCCGAAATTCTACATGTAGAAAATGAAAGGAAGGAATGAATGAAGGAATGAAACTCAATCATTTTGAATCATTACAAATCAACAAACTCAAAAATTTCGACATTTTACTCAACGATCAATTAGACCTCAATAGTTCACCACTGTTGAATTAGTTTTCTTATAGTAGGTAATAATATTTATTTGCTATTAACCCTTTCAAGTTAATCCGGTATACCGTAATTTAATGTAGATATTGTGCCTAATTTCCGAAAATGGAGGTTCGGAGATTAATCCTGTCCACAGGTAATTAATCCTTCAAGTTGGGAAAGTAGGATAGGTATATAAAAGTTAAGCAAGCCAACGTTGGTTTAGTTCATTGTACCAGTATATCACCTGACGAAGCTACTGTGTTAGCGAAACATGTTGTGTGTTCGAGAATTTTGTGGAAATCTTATCGTTTGTGAAATTTTTACATCACTGATATGATATGTTGTATGTTTTGCAATATTATTAGTTGATCGTTCCTTCTTCCAGGTACGAGACGACGTGGCTGTCCCAACCCAACCTGTCGTACTCGGCCTGCCCGTCGGGAGGGTACGCGCAGCCGGCGTACGCCGCCCCGGGCGCCTTCAGCCCGTGCGGCGGCGGAGCGGGCGGCAGGCAGGAACCGCCCGCCGCGCGGTACCCCTACTGGCCGCCCGACGTCGAGTACTCGCCGCCAGGGCAGCACGGCTCGCCGCCCGCCGATCCGCAGCTGCTGCTGCAGTGGTGACGACGAGGGGGGGCGAGTCTGGCGAGCTAGGTGGCCGCGAAAAGTAACGTGTCGCGGGAAGTGATGATGGGGTGTACTGGCACGTATTCAAAACGCCCCGATAACGGGCATAGGCAAGCTTTTAGACCAATCACAACGTTGAGTTTCACGCGTGCGTGTTTTTTAATTCGGAATGAACATCATTTTGAAATGGTTTGAATTTTGAATTATTCTGGACATTGGAGTCATCATAAACTACACTCGGAGTTCTGGACCACAAGTGATGACAGATTTTCATAACAATAGGAGCATTGATTTCGATAAACTCATTGTCAATAAATCGGAAATACTTAGACGTGAAATACGCACGCACTTCACCTAATACAATACAATACAATGGTGAAACTGCATTTATCATGCGATATGGTTTTTTTTTTCGAAATTTTTTTCTGGTACTCACGTATTTTTGTCTGAAAAACACGAATTTAATAATGAAAATGTGAACAAACTATTATTTATCAAGATATTTCACGATAAAGTTACAAATGTCACCTTCTTTTCCGCCCGTCTTCTGGATCGCATTTAGAACAATATTTACTCTTCTTTTTTCATCATTGGACAATTTATACAGGGTGGCATTGAAATAACTGCAAATATTTCAAACACTGAGAAAGCTTGATGTGCGCTTTCGAATGGCACTAATAAAAATAAATCAATGATCAAAATGAAATTTGAGGTTACACCACTTTTTCCACCCAAAGTTCTACACTGTAGCAAATCTGACGTCACCTCTGTTCAAATTTCCATACGTTAGGCACAATCACGCAGAGTTCAATCATTCAAATTGTTTTGAAGTGGCGTACTTGGTTTTTTTCTCGTATTTTGTTCAATTTTCAGGATGAAATTTCTCGTTAATCAGAAGAATTGAAAAAGTCTGATATCATGAGAATATTCCTTAGACTTTATCATACTAATGTGCTAAATATGTGCACTTATTTCAAAAACACCTTGTATGTATCACAATATTATCACAATGTTCAACACATTTTTTTCTATTATATGAGTCAACTAGAAACATGATTTTCTTGTGATTTATCGATATTTAGTGAAAAGAAGGAAGAATATCATTTGAAATAATGGCGTGTGTAATGTCATTCAAAAGTATTGATTTGATTAAATGGCCGTGATCTGGTATGCTTGTTCAACTAGATATGAAAACCTCGCCATGCAAATCATATTTCCTCTTGAATTTCCTATAAATATAAATGTGTTATTGAAGAACATCATGAGTATACAGTGGGGACGTAAAAAGTCCTCCCCCCCCCCCATTAACCTTTGAACGGAACAAGCTAGCGAGGTCGGGTAAAATTCAGGCAAAAAGGTAGGTACCTCTTTCACTACTATTTGGCATCTTATAGTTATATTTTTGAAGTGAGTGGAGATGAGGCACGAAACTCTGCAATTGTTTTTGGATAACATTCAAACAATTCTGTAATAATGAAAAAAGAGACATGAGTGTAGGAAAGATCACGGGAATTCAATTTGTAATTTGTTTGAAATTCCGAACGAATATCGTTCTGAAATGTTGCAGTTTTTTCGTTTATATCAAGCTACTATGTAGTTCTGGAGAGATGGGGAAATTGAAACAAACACCATTAATTTTTTTGTTAACATTTCTATCACGACTCCAAATATCCTAGTTTTTCATTGAAACATCCATATTGAATAAGTATTTATTTTTCCATTCTCCGAAAACACGCTTGATTCCAACAAAAAAATGTAACAGTTTATATTTTTCTATTTTTTAATAACTAAATTATTCGAATTTTTAATTTTAAGATTAAAGACATGCAGTGCTGACGTTGATTAATATTACGCAGGTGACAACCAATTCCCAGGCAACCAGATGACGTTTCAGTGACGTCTTTTTACGTCAGTTGAATGACCAAGGTGACGTCAGGAGTTGACGTCGTATTACGTGAATAAATCACAGCCCAATGACGTCATATTACTCACGCGATTATTGACGTCATTCACTCACCAAACTGTGACGTCAGGTTGACGTCGAAATGACGTTCAAATCTGGTGATGACATGTAAAAAAGTTTCCTCGAACATGGTGTGATAACCACCACTGACCTCTGATGACATATAATATCGATTATGCATTGTTGAGTCTGCTTGGTGGTCCCTCGGACGTACAAGTTTCTATATATGTGTGTGAAATTAATGAAAAAACGATTTTTTCTGAAAACTTTTCGACTCTGAAAATGCTCATCCTGTATAATAGGTTCGTCACAAAACTAACGGTTTCACAATGTGAGTATACATGGTTTAGATATGGTCTGGGAAACATGGACGTCGACAGGACGTCCCTGCAACGTAATGAAACTGACGTCCTATTTAACCCATCTATGTGACGTTCACTTGACGTCGAGATGATGACGTGATCCTCACGTCATAGAAAGTACGTCATAGTGACGTCATAAATTGGTGTGTGACGTCTCTGACGAAAAATCACCAATTAGGGATGATCATTCGTCATATGGTTGTCTGTGTTTTAATGCTCGCTTATTGGTCCTATAAGTTTTTCGCACACCGGTGGTGGTCTTGTCAAAAGGAAGTCACGCATATACAGAGAATTGTGGTAATCATTTTTGAAAAGGGACCCAGTCCTGTGGACCATTTCTCAGGGTAGGGGTGCGGAGATTGTACCTTCATCTGAGTATATTATGGCATTCCTTTCAGTTACGCCAAAAAAATTATGAGATTATTATTATCACAACCTGTATTTCTCTTATTAGCATACTATTTCATCAAGGCAAATTGTCTCAAATCGTAGTATCATGAAGTGAAAAACCTAATACTATATACTTTTATGTACGATTACTCAAGGAACACCCTGTATTTTCATGAAATGTGGTTGGTTTAAAACAGAAATTGTATTATATCACACTCTCTTCCGGGTTATAGGAACAAAAAACTCAAACTCTTACCTTAAATAGTAATGAAATGAAAATAAAGGAATCATTTCATTGTTCCACAGAGTTCAGGATGAACAATACAGGGTGATTCATTAGGAAATGATCATAGAGTGAGGGTAGACGGAGGACACCGATGCACTTCTAAATAATACATATTTCATGGGTCTATCATTCTTCGTAGCTGAGATACAGGGTGATTTATCAATTTTCAAATTTTTTTTATTAATCATAACTTATGAACTACCCTAAACATTTTTGTGAAATTTGGTGGACATGTTCTTTGTCCACAGATGTGACGATTGACATAATAAGATGAAGTCTCATTCCAGGTCAGGTCTTAAAAAAATTGATGAGTAGGTTTCGAGTCGAAACAACACCTTGTATATCAATATTTTGGACTTTTCATTCACAAATTTGAAAAGAGCAGGAAAAAATAAGTCAGGCTGAATGTATTTTGTGTTTCCGCATACAAATTTTATACCTATTAACCTCTCTTTTCTTTTGATTCAGGTCTCATCACTATCACTCTACAATGTAAACCATTATTTTACAGAGCTAAAAAAATTTAATAAATTGACAAAGCCCATGGCCATGGGCGAAACGTTTTTCTACTTAATCCTTTGAATTATTTATGAAACCGAATCCAAACCCCAAGAAAAAGCTGCAAATCAAAAACATAACAGGATTCAAGAAAATCCCTCAACAAAGTAGGTACTTATTAATTTTTTTAAGGCCGTACCTGGAATGACACTTCATCTTATTATGTCAATCGTCACATCTGTGGACAAAGAACATGCCCACCAAATATCACAAAAATTTATAGGGTGGTTCATAAGTTACGATTAATTGAAAAAAATTAGAAAATTAATAAATCACCTCGGTGTCCTCCGTCTACCCTTACTCTATGCGCATTTCCCAATGAATAATCACCCTGTACAACAAATAACATAAAACTGAATAAATCCATAGCTATTATTGTACAGGGTGATTTTTAATCACATAAATTTGCATAGAATTGGGGAATTGAAGGTCGTGATGAATGACTCATGATGAATTGATGATGATAATTTCCGTTACCATTTAGTCAGAAGCTGTTTTCTCACAAAGCCGACATCAGATAGGCTTCTGACCCGAATAAGTTGTTTTCTATTCGATTTTAGTTATTGTAAAATGGTTCTCAATGAGAGTTATTCCATTTTTCAGTTCCAAATTAGGTGAATTGAAAAAAAATGTTCCAGGCTTGAACTGTTAGGTTGGAATGCTGCAAACTTAAATTCATTTTATTGTTTTGATACCAAGCTCTGCAGAGTTCAAATGTTTTTTTTTAAATTTGTGGTGCCACAGATTTGCTAATCTGTGGTTGTACATAACTGCCTGTACAAAAGGTTGTATATAAAATAGGATTGGGGCATATACGTGTATAGAATAGGCTCTTCTCATTTACCTATAATAAGGATGTTTTCTTGGGTATTCGCAATTTTTTATGACGAGAATATGGGTATGGATCGTCTTGAAATTAAATAAATATTTTCCGTTTGTGTTAGTCTCATAGAAGATTTTTTTTGTATGAAAAGCATTCAGATTATCAGAATTCAAGTGGGTTTATATACATATAGATAATAATGATATATACATAGACGCGAAGTGCCATCTTTATTATATACCGTGCTTTCACGTTTACTCCCTACATAGGACATAACTGGTGAGATATCGCTATTCGATGTGTGCCTCGAGCAATACCGAATACTTTACCTATGTAGTGTTTTCCAATGAAAGCACGGTATGAGCCTGGACTAACTGGAAAACAAGACATTTCCCTTGGTTATTCGTGGTGATTTCGACTTCCATTCCATTAAATATTTCATTTATACGATATCGATACTCGTTTGACAGCACCGTACGAAATACCGATTTTTGAGTTCCAATATAAAAATAATTGTATCAATACATTCAAAAAAATTCTAGCAAAAATAATGAAGATGGAAATTGCAACATTGCAAAAGTATAAATATAGCGAGTTTTTAAGCTAGTCTGGTCT